CCAATGTGGCTTAGGAGAGAAGTAAAACAAGAGATTACAAGTAAAAAAGGGGCATTTAAAGCATTTAAATCAGACAAATCAGAGGCATCCTATTTAAGATATAAGGAAGCCAATAACACTGGCAAAAAGGCAATTAAAGTGGCTAAACTAGAAAATGAGACATTGATAGCTAAAGAAGGAAAAAACACCCCCAAAAAGTTTTTTTTAAAGTACATCACTTCTAAAAAAACAAAAAATGAAAGTGTAGGTACATTTGAAACAGAGTTGGGTTTATTAGCTAATAAAGACCAGGAAAAAGCAGAACTTTTAAATAACTTTCTTCTATATATATTAATGAGGATTCTATGGCAAGAGATATGCAAATGATTGCTGCAAAAAACTTGCAGGTAACTTGTGATTTGATAACTCGAGACAAGGTGCTACAGCTATTAAAGAAAATTAATGTAAATAAAGCACCGGGGCCTGACAGTATTCACCCACGAGTACTTAAGGAGCTAAGTGGGGAAATAAGTGAACCTCTGTATTTAATTTTTCAAGATTCTTTTGTTTCAGGTGTTGTACCAGAGGACTGGAGGAAGGCAGATGTTTTTCCTATATTTAAAAAGGGTTCAAAATCCTTGCATGGAAATTATAGACCTGTGAGCTTAACTTTTATAACTGGGAAAATATTTGAACGGCTATTAAGGGATAATATTCAGAAATTCATTGGGAAAAACTTTGTTATTAGAAATAGTGATGTACCGAACGGTTCGCTGGCGAACGGTTCCTGGCGAACATAGCATGTTCGCGTTCGCCACGGCGGGCGAACATATGCGCGGTTCGACCCGCCCCCTATTCGTCATCATTGAGTAAACTTTGACCCTGTACCTCACAGTCAGCAGACACATTCCAGCCAATTAGCAGCACACCCTCCCTAGCAGACCCTCCCACCTCCTGGAAGGCATCCATTTTAGATTCATTCTCAAGCTGCATGCTTAGTAAGAGGAGGGAAAGTGTAGCTGCTGTTCATAAGATAGGGAAAAGCATAGCTAGGTTAGGGATAAGGGTATGCTTTTTTATTTTTTTTATTTTTTCTATGTAATGTAAATGCACTTAGTTGTCTGCCACTGCTGCCAGCTTCTGTGTCAGGCTCACAGTGCATACTGTGCCCATTTCCCCAGTCAGTGCCACCAATTACATCTGGTGTCACAATAGCTTGGATTTAAAAACAAAAAACTTTTTTCACTGTTATAGATTGAATGGCAGTCAGTTGTCTGCCACTGCTGCCAGCTTCTGTGTCAGGCTCACAGTGCATACTGTGCCCATTGCCACCACTTAGATCTGGTGACACAAGCTTGGATTTAAAAACAAAAAAACTTTTTTCACTGTTATAGATTGAATAGCAGTCAGTTGTCTGCCACTGCTGCCAGCTTCTGTGTCAGGCTCACAGTGGATACTGTGCCCATTTCCCAGTCAGTGCCACCACTTATATCTGGTGTCACAATAGCTTGCATTTAAAAACAAAAAACTTTTTTCACTGTTATAGATTGAATAGCAGTCAGTGTCCTTAAAGCGGGTGTGTTACGCTAACAGTGGATACGGTGACCATTGCCACCACTTAGATCTGGTGACACAAAGCTTGTATTTAAAAACAAAAAACACTTTTTCACTGTTATAGATTGAATAGCAGTCAGTGTCCTTAAAGCGGGTGTGTTACGCTAACAGTGGATACGGTGACCAGTACCACCACTTAGATCTGGTGTCACAATAGCTTGGATTTAAAAACAAAACACTTTTTTCACTGTTATAGATTGAATAGCAGTCAGTGTCCTTAAAGCGGGTGTGTTACGCTAACAGTGGATACGGTGACCATTGCCACCACTAAGA